ATCATAAATAGGTCAGAATGTGCATAAATAGTGCTTACCGAGTTAGTCATGCAGTAGAAATATGATGATGAATACTGCAGCACACATAACATATAACTTATGAATTGAATCTTGAATATTTTTACATTTCTTAAAATCTTAGTACATTTTTCTCAAGTTTAATTTTCTTGAAATATTTGGCTGATCTGGAGACAAACAGCTTTAATTGTGTTATGTAAAAAAAGCACAACCTTTTTTAAAAATCTTTTAAATAAATATAAATACTCCAATATCGTAACGTATTTTTGATTTGAATAAAAGTTGATGTGTGCAAAAAAAGCATGACAATGATTCAATGCACATTACTTTTTGGCACAACGCTGAATAAAAACCCTCATAGACTTAACAATAAACACCATTGGCTTCAGAAACTGGATTTTGACAATTTCATGAAAATAAACTTTTGTAACATTATTTGGACTGAACGTAGAATTAACTAAAACCACTTTTTGCCTTTGTACAATATCATCGAAAAAATTTCTATATCACAGTTTTAAGAATATGTGTTAAAGGAATCGTTAACAAGATTAAGTAAATAAGTAGAAAGATTACAATGCATAATACGAACGCACACTGGTACAATATGTTATGATGTTAAAATCATTATAAATGTTTTCAAAATACATCAATTAATGATAATACTAATTCTAGGCCAATGTCTTAAAACGTAAATTATTAAAGATTTAAAATGCGTACTTTTTGATGTTTTTGGTGTTGTTGCATTATTATTGTTTAGCTAAAATACCGCGATTTCCATGTTCCTTTTTTTGTTACAAATATCAAATTTGATTGATACTATTTTAGTAAGTTTGCTTTTTGAAATATTAAATTATGTCCAACTCCACTATAATCGTTTATTGAAATACAGGAATACCAACTTTTATTATTTGCCAAATGCTGAAATTAAAAACAAAACCAAAACAAAACAACAACAAGTACAGCAGCAGCAGCAGCAGCAGCAGCAGCAGCAGCAGCAGCACAATAACTGTAAAGTTACTGTATAAAAACTAAGTACATATTTTGTTCACATTTGAAATAATCTGATTACAAATATATCTGTTCTTATACATAGAATATATCTTGATTAAAGTGGAAAAATGGGAATGACTGACATTAAAGAACAAAATGATTTAAAAATATTTAGAATTTTCGTTATGCCTAATATGTTTCTCTAAAAAAACAACATTTTTATTACTGCTCTGTATGCAACAATTATATTTTAGGTTTGTTAAAATGAGATTATGGACCATCCAGTGGTATATTATGAACATATGGTAAGAGTTTGCGATAATTTTTTTTCAATTTAATAATTTTCTTCGTAACTCACGTGGCCTAAGGAAAATTCTATAAATACACCATTAACATTAAATATTCATCGGAATTTACCTGATACATTCAATCATATATATATAAGAGTGGGTCGGTAAGATTCATATTATGTCTTAATCATTTTCAAATAAAAACCTTTGGTCAATCACCATTTTAACAGTTTATATTTTGATTTTGTAGTCAATTCAGCTTAACCTGACCATTGAAAACTGAGCATGATGTCACTTTAAGTTAAAACTCTAAAGCTTTCTGACCACAAATATGAAAAAACAAAAATCCTCTTGCACATTCAAATATGGTTAAATGACGATTATTCAGTTATAATTGAAATACTATTGTAAGAGACAGGTGGTTATTCAACTAGCTACAGATCCCATTACGGAGGTATTCAAATAAACTTGAAAACTTATCAAAAATAACTTGGATATTTTGATTGCAGTAGTAAATGGCTGATAAAACAACATTTCAAAAGTTAAAAAAAAATAGTGAAAAAATAACACTTCCGATACAAACGTATAAAAAATCAATCAGGGCTGAGAATCAGAACTGCATCGTATACAAACGCCGCACTAAAAAGGGCATAATTTTTGTTTATTACTCTTTTTGTTGGGAATGACTGAAAATCCGATAGATCTATATGTATTAAAACGCTCCTCAATTTACTGCTTCATTTGGTTTATTTTGCTAACACAACTATTTTGTAAAACAAAATTTATAGCGAACTTGCCAGAATTTTTAAGAAGTTCTGTAGATACGACGCAGTTCATATTGATAGCCTTCACATCAATTATATACTCGTTTTAGAGTTTACCATTTACTCAATATCATTTAAAAGAGCTATTTATTTGCCAAGAAAATAACGATATGATACGAAATAAAACAACGCAATTGAAAATAAATATGATACGTATGAATGTATTGCAAATGTTTCAGAGACAATTGCCTACATTGAAAATAAAATCTTTAAAAAAATCTTGCAAATCTTCACTTTGCTTGATATTACAGTAATGATAATCACTTGCCAACAAGAAACAATAAAAGGTCGCAACAATTTCATTGTTCCAACTATAAGAATAATAACAGCACAGTTCTCAAGATATACCTTATATGGTAAGAATGACTGTTTCATATATATTATTGTATATTGTCATGTCACATCGGTAACTATTTTGTCGTTAATAATTTGCATGTAAATGTATTGTAAACAAAATAACACATTGTTTTTATCAAAGTAGTGCGTTTCGTGAAAATAAATAAGAAATACCAGCGTTAAAACTTGGACGTTATTTTAACTGCAAAATCTTTATTTTTCACTGCAGTGAAAGATATGTTTTGTATTGTCCTGACTATTTACTATTTTCTAAATTTTATAAAAGTCACTTCTTGAACATTCTGTGAACGGATTATTCTTAAATTGGTTTGACACTGATACTCTCTTTACATATAGTGATAATAACAATTAACTGTTTGCCAATAGGAAGTAGATTTTCATGCATCCATAATTAAAGCGGAATGCCAGATTGAGGCTAATTTTCATGAAAATCATGAAAAAATTATGAAATGGTACAATATTATAAAGTGAACAAAGAATGTTATTAACACGTTGCAAACGGAACTTTCAATCCATATAAATTACCAAAAAGAGGTCAAATATGCCAAAAGCCCTTACTGCGTTAGTCACGCAATAGATATACATGTATAAGGATATATATACAGGTATATATATTGTATACTGCAAATTAAGTCTTTAGTCGCACATAATATGTAAATTAATAATTGAATCTTGAATCTCTTTACTTTTCTTTAAACTCAAGTAAATTTTTCTCAAGTTTGATTTTCTTGAACTAATTTGGCTCTTCTGAAGGCATGCAGCTTTAACAGGAAGAATTAATGAAACAGAATGAGATCATGTTATTTAATCACTAACAAAAACGATCAGTGATTACATCTGTCGCCTCATGATAGCCATAACTTGGCCAAAACTTGGCCAAAAATCATTCAACCTAAAAAACTGTGTAAAATGCACAAGAATTTGAGCTATCGATCAATCCTGTAAAGTTTCATTGAAATTGCATAAGTGGTAAAACTCTGACAAAAATCATGTTACCGTAAAATTTTGATGAGATGCACAGGTAGACATGGTATTAATCACTTCCGTAAAGTTTTAAAGAAATTGCACAAGTAGTTTCTGAGGAGTAGTCCAGACCAACTCCTTACAGAAAAAGACCTTTTTTCAAGGGCAATCCAAAAAAATAAACCGTGTAATATGCGCAAATACTTGACCTACCAGTCAATCCTGTAAAGTTTCATTGAAATTGCATCAGTGGTATAAGAGGAGTAGTCCGGACAAACTTAAAAAAATAAAATAATTAAAGTTTTGATGAAATTGCATCAGTTTTGTTTGAGAAGTAGTCCGGACAAGCTTTTGTGTATCTGGCAATGTTATTTCTTCAAGGGCCATAACTCGGCCACAAATCATTCAACCAGAAAACCCGTGAATATTCGCAAGGACTTGAGCTACAGATCAATCCTCTAAAGTTTCATTGAAATTGCATGAGTGTTATAAGATGAGTACTCTTAAAAAATAGTATAGGGCCATTACTCTGACAAAAATCGTTAAACTGGAAAATTCTGACGATGTGCACAACTAGACTTGGTACTGACAATTCCAGTAAAGTTTGGATAAAATTGCACCGGCACTTTATGAGGAGCAGTCAGGACAAGTTTTGTTAGGGACGGACAGATGGACAGACTGACAGACGGCGGAGAAGTGATCCCTACATGTGGCCACTTCTCCGTAGAGGTGATACAACAAAGACATTTTACACGAAATAGTTATAATGTTCTGGAAAGGATTTGCATATATTAGATAAAAGTATTAAAGCAGCACGCCTCACGATTCTTGCTTATTTTCATGAATTTAAAATTAAAATATTGTAAAGTAACAAAAGGGAGCAATTTACACATTACAAACAGCACTCACAACCCACGTAAGTAACCAAACTGAGGTCAAAATAGCCTTTACTCCGTTAGTTACGCAGTAGAAATATGGTTATAAATACTGAAAAATTATATAAATCATACATAACATGTAAATTATTACTAAAATCTTAAATATGTTTACTTTTCCTGAAATCTGAGTGCATTATTCTCAGGTTTGATTTAATTTAGGAAATATTTGGCTCAACTGGAGGCATGCAGCTTTAAAATTACAAAGCTTGATATCTCATGAAAAATTAAACACTTCATAAAAGTACCTTGATAAATACTTGATTAGGCGTTTTTAGAACATATCCATTTGTTCAACAAGAGTGTACGCACATGTGTGTATTTATATAATGTTTATCAATTATTCATGAACAAACCACTCGGAAGATTACAAAAATTACGATTGTGAACATGTGCAAAAATTGTTTCAAATATTGTTTTTCAAACGATGAAATATACATAATATTGACAACCTTAATATTGTTTGAACTAAATGCTTGTAAACACGCAAAAGATTGATGATATGTTGTAAAATCATAAACAGTAAACAAAGAACTATATACAACAAAAATAACTGAATTTAAATCGGTGTGACCGCTCTCAATTATTAAACTTGCGACTTAGTGTTAAAAAAATGATATACAATTAACATGTTCTTCTAATCATTTGAGCTTTTTTACCATCATTTCTTGTTGTATTTAAAGCCACACCGACACTGTACATAGCATCATAATTCATTATGTATACTTAACTGGTTATCGAATACTTCGCTCGAAAAATGAATACTACTGTGTCACATACTGTAATATAACCAAACTACCAACCACAATAGCAAATAGGTCATGATACTGCAAGAAAGCATCCTTGAACTACCGTTACCCTTAAGCTTGCCATCGTCCTTTGTTTTGCGAAAATCTGAAGAAATAACAAAGGATAATTAGAAATAATAGTTTTTAGGAAATTTTCTCTTCTTTAATAATTATATAAAAACATATTTGATATATTTCATGCTTATATACATTTCTGTTATGTATGCTAGTTATAAATATTTGTATAGTTATCAATGACATTGGTTTTGCACTCGTCCTTTGCTTGGCGAAGCAATTACGAAAGAGAACACGATATACAATCAAGGCTATATTTTTGTTTTTCCTTCTATTTTACATAAAGGAGACCACTTACATCGAGCAAATATTTTTTTTCTGTAACATAGTCAAAGTCAAATGTACGTAAGGTACAACATTGTCAAAAAACGAAACATTTATTTGTCAAAAACGAAACGCAAGATAGACAACCAAGATGAAAGTAAATAATAAAGTTTAAAGGTGTATAACTCTCGCGATATATTTACTTTTGTTTGAAAATGTAATGGAACTCAGAAATGAGAACGGTGACCCAAAAATGTGTTTCGATTAAAATGTTTTTTATAATCATATTCTAACAACATGTCAAGTTCAAAGAATTTCTATTGAACAGTTTTAACTTTGCCTATATGTCTTTATGAAAACTCTCGAAAACTTCCTTAACTTCAGATCTCCAATTCCGCCATTTAAAATGTTTCGAAATTGGATACTATGTACAATGTCAACTTCAAAACTGCTGACAATATAATATATAACAAATACTACCAACAACAATAGCAAATAGAACTTACTATTGGAAGGCGTCATCACTGAACTTCCGTTATCCTTGCTTTCGTCCTTTGTTTCGCGAAAATCTAAAGAAATAACAAAGGATTATATGAAATAATAGTTTTTAGGAGTTTTTCTCTTCTTTAATAATCTTACAAAAAATTATTTGATAGATTTCATGCTAAATACATTTCTGTTATGTACGTTAGTTATAAATATTTGTAAAGTTAAAAATGACATATTGGACTTCCGGTACTATTGCTCTCGTCCTTTGCTTGGCGAATATCTGAAGCAATTACGAGAGAAAACAAAATATACTGTTTTTTTTCGTTTTTCTATTTTATATAAAGGAGACCACTTATAATAAGCAAATATTTATTTCTGTAATATAGTCAAAGTCAAATATACGTAAGGTACAAAATTGTCAAAAACGAAACTTAAAATTGTCAAAAAACGAGACACAAGATAGACAATCAAGATGAAAGTAAATAATAAAGTTGAAAGCCTGAGAAACATAGCGATATATTTACTTTTGTTTGAAAATGAAATGAAACTCAGAAATGAGAAAGGTGACCTCGAAATGTGTTTCTATTATCATATTCGTACAACATGCTAAGTTTAAAGAATTTCTATTGAACCGTTTTAATTTTGCCAATGTCTATATGAAAACTCCCGAAAACGTCATCAAATGGCAAACACAGACTTCAGATCTCCTATTCCGCCGCTTAAAATATTTCGATATTGGATACTACAATGTCAACTTCCAAACTGCTTACATTTTAATTACAAATACTACCAACAACAATAGCAAATAGACCTTACGTTTGTAAGAAGTCACCATTGAACTTCCGTTGCACTTGAGTTCGTCCTTTGTTTCGCGAAAATCTGAGGAAATAACAAAGGATAAAAAGAAACAATAGATTTTTTATAGGGGGTTCTCTTCTTTTATATACAAAATATGTTGGTTTTGTCATGACGCGGCTCATTTCTAAAGCAGGTAACTTAAGGCAAAACAACTTTCCTGCATATGTATGCTACTACGTATCATATGCCATGAAGTTAGGTTATCATTTTTGAAATTTTACCAAGCTGATTTTAAAAATGTTATTTTGTCCTTTTTACATTTGTGTGGTAAACTATGAACGTCAAGGTCACGATGAAGGTCAAAGGTAAAAATACTTTACTTCGATTATTTTTGTATACTTCTTTGCATATTTCATAAACGACAGTTAAATAATATGCCATTACATGCAAATCTAGAAAAAGCTCTAATACAGATACAAACAATTGTTTTACAAGTTATGCAGTAAAATACCGTGCCATTACATACTCGCTAATTCAGGAATGAACATAGGTCACAAAATGTGATTATATTGTCAACTTAGATACTGTGATATGTTTCAACTAAATGATAACTCAAACATATCTTATTAATTAAAGTATGCGAAGTAAACATTAAGTATCTCATAAACGTACCATTTCATAATTGTGAAGAATAATATTTCGATTTTCTACGATTTCATATCCTTTGTTTTCTTAGCAATTCTTTGGAAATAACTTTGGCTTTATTGGCTTGTTAACAAAGAACTAACTTTTTGTCATTTCAGCTGAGATGGTCATTTAAAATGGACAAAGACATGATTTGGTAGTTAATTCAGATGGGATCATTCTATGAGACAAGGTCTGACAACGACATAGGTATTGATTTTTTTTTTTCAAATTCATAAATGGAATGCATTTCACAAGAGGTTGTGATTGTGTAGTTCAAGTTTGCTTAGTATACACTTTTATGACTTTTATGAATTTCTTGTTTAAAACCACTTTATGAAGGTTCAAATGAGATGTTTTTTTTATATAACAATACATGTACATGTCATTTTGCTTCATCATCTCCCTTGTTTGACTTAGGATACTTTCCTTTTTTTCTCAAAAACCATCACAGATATTTACTTCTACTATCAAGGACAGGTAATTCTTATAAGGAAAATCAGAATTATGTCCCCTTTCTATAAAGCTTGAACCATACTATCCAACATTGAGAAATGTGAAGATTGCTGTCCGCGGAAAGGGCTTGTTTGCGTTAATGGCTGGGTGGTTAAGGTCAGTGACACAAAACCACTTGCCCCCTTGCCGCTATTGGTTCGAAACCTGCTTGGCACTTTGGATCATTTCCTGTAAAGAAGTTCTCCACCAGGTTTTACGGAACGTCGTTATTAATACCAGAGTGTCCGTTCGTGCCTAAAACAATAAACATTCGAGGTCTTCCACCATTTAAGCTTGAAGTTCGCATTTTTTTTCAGTTATCAAGACCTTTGAAACCGAAAGTAAAGTAACATATTAAATAATCACATATTTTTACAGTTACTTCTCCTAAGAGGATCTTTTAAACATGAAATTGTGATATAAAATACCATCTGTGATTTTGGTTGATCAGGAATATTTCACAATGGTGTAGCTCTATAATTCAGTTTAAACACATAAACAAGTAATGAAATTTTATATTCAATGACACACACTTTTAACAAAATATTTCATAAACCTTTTGTTTCAACTCAATACTAGCATTGGTAAATAATATATAAATTCAGTCGCATGCAAAGAAAAACTTAAGCAAGTGTTGCTTTGTTACTAGGATGAAACGTTATCTTTTGAATAGTCAAACTAAAGTCAATTATGTAAGTTAATTATTGTAAAGCTGGATGATTATGGACATTTTTGTATTTTTACTTTTTTAATGCTCCCATTGTTTTCTTATTCGAAGCTATTGAACTTTATGTAATCTTATATCCTTCGAGTCCCTTTATAAATTCAGACACTTTTTTATATGCTACAGGTAATTTAAAGTTGTGAATTAAAACATAATGAAACTTACATGGACAAGAGTCCCTACAAAATTGCGGATCTTCTGACGGCTCCTTAGAGCAGATGTAAGTACAATTTTTACACATATGTCTGTTCCAGAACATGTCGTTGTTGCACTTTAGGTTTGAGTCTGTTAGATATAAGAATAGGTAGTTATACAGTCTGTTAGATATAAGAACAGGTAGTTATATACATGTAGTCTGTTAGATATAAGAATAGGTAGTTATATAGTCTGTTAGATATAAGAATAGGTAGTTATATTATCGAATTAGAGGAAACTGTATGAAAAGGAAGCACGAATTCGTTGACGTACTATGAATGTTAGAAGTATATAATTGTTATATATCATGACAAACAAGAGGTCATAATTTCCCTGATATCGCTCACCTGATTATAAAGGCTCTTGATGACAAGGGAAGCGTAAAATTGTGCACTATGAATGAAAAGCAAATATGATGCCTTAATCTTAACATGATATCACAAAGTTAATATCTGTATCTGAATTAATGCAATGTAAACAAGGTTTATACATATTTTGGCTGTGTGATCCAGTTTTCTACAAAATGGATGAAACATATTTGAATGGGAGCTGGAAATCATTTAATCAACTGTTCTGACATATTTAAAGGACATTTGAGGTGAAAAGGTCTGGAGGAGTTGTTATTTTACCAGACAGATGAAATCACAAAGTCCAGAGTTTTTCTGTGTGAACTAGTTTTTAATCTCAGGTGACTCATATTGGAGCTTGAACTAGAAATAATAAAAACAACCTTTCTGACAAATTTCTTATATATTTGTGTTGACAATATATATTTAGAATGTTAACAAGGTTTGTCCATAATTTGGACTCTGTGACCTAAATTTTGACCCCAGATGACCCATATTCCAAGTTGAGGTAGAAATCTTAGAAACAACCTTTCAGGATATGTAGACTGAAAATGTTAACACGTTTTTTTTTCAGGTTCGGCTGTGTTAACTAGTTTTTGACACCAGATCACCCATATTTAATTGAGCTAGAAATCATCAAAACAACTTTTCTTTGAGTTGAAAATACTACTTCTTAAGTGTAAACAAGGTTTTCCAAATTTGGATTCTGTGGCTTGTTTTTGACCTCAGACTTCCAAAATTGAGCCAGAAATTATCAGAACATTTCTTTTGCAAATTTAGGACGAAAAATTGACCTCTTCAGAGTTAACAAGATTTTCCATATTTAGGCAGCGTGACCTACCTTTTGACACCGGATAACCCATATTCGAGTATAGACAAATACAAGAATACTTGGCCTGAAAAATTAGCCTGTAGAGTGTCAGCAAGACTTTTCTAATTTTTTTGTCGGTCATATGACCTAGTTTTTCATCCGAGATGACGCATATTCAAACTTGTCCCAGTAATTATGTGTAATTTCTTAAATACTGTGACAATTTATATGTATCGACTTAAGTGTTCACGAGGACGGCAGGCGACGGGCAACGGACATTAAACTAAATTAGACCTAAAATGTGTGCTAAAAACCAAAGGTTAATAACACCGATACACGGGTCAATTAATAAGTCCATTTTATTTGATATATCGAATTAAAGAAATAAACAAGTATGCAATTTAGATAAGATTACAGCTCTGTAAATAAAGAAAATACATAGATTACCTTGACACGATAAGCGAAGAAACGACAGTATGTCAGCATTTAGATCATCGTTAAAGTTTATGAAGTGGTTTTCATCTGTGGCAAGACAAAACCAAAATGTAGAGGGACTTTTTTTGTTTATTTTGGTAGACTGACTTTTCTCCCCATAATAAACAATAAACGCTTTCATACTCTTAAGTCCTTCTATTAGTTTTTCTTCATCATCCACTTTTGTTTCATTATTTACCACAAGAAACAACTGTATTGGTGCGTTTGTGTTTCTACTTTGATAGACTGATATAGAATCTATCAAACTCGTTGCTGAAATTACACCCGTCGTCCCTTTGGGAAAAAAGTGGATGATTTTGGGCCATTTTAACATGTTTTCTTTATTTTTGACACCTTCTGTCAGAGTTATTATTGACGTATGGTTTAACGTGTCTAATTGAATGTTACTACCATCATGAGTATTGTTCATGATCTCATAAATGTAATATTTTTGCACACGAACAACATCATCATCTACGCTTCTATCCAAGAACAGATACGCGTTGACAGGCCGGCATTTGTGGTGATTAAAATGTCTATGTAATCCTGAAAAAAAATATATTTCATGAGTCATGGCAAGTAAACTACCACACTATTTTGTTTTCTTTCCACGACATGAACTTAAAGAAAAATGTTTTCTTCCGCGTGAGTTTATTACGATGAGAGTCTTGACTACATCATACCTATAATATAGAAGCAGGCTAGAACGTAATTTCCATTTAGAGAGTGCATAAATCAAAACATTCACAGATAACAATTTTGATGTGTAGCAAATGACTGTTATTAATTCCGCAAGTACAGTTATTTACTTTGCCGATTGATGCACTAATTAAGTAGCGCATGTAGTTCAACTAATCATAAGTAACTCGTTTTGTTATTGTGATATTTGACTAGCTATAGAATGGAATGGTAGAGTGAATCAAGATATTTTTGTTTGTTAACCACATATATACAATAACGATATTAGGCAAGAGTACACGTGAATGGAAAATTAATTTTGGTATCCCATTACATAATTGCCAAATAAAGATAAATCATCTTACGACGGCATTCGTCCCATATATGCATTAAAACCAAATTTTGTAAAAAAAAAATACAAAAACAACAACAACTTGATATCAGTTCATTTGGTTAGATTCAAGCATGTGAATACAATCGATAGTGCAAATTTAAATAAACATTTGTATTAGCAACTAATTATAGATAGAGCTATTAATAGACTTGGGTTTTTGGGAAACCGATGAGGGATTTCCTTGTTAATAAAAATATTGCACAAATTACATTTTTTCTGAACTTAACGTATAGGTTTAGTGTTTAATAATATGTTAATAAAGGTTCCAATCATACAGATAATAGATTAGATGTGTTGTCTTAACAAAAATAAATGTATTGTGAAATAATATTTGTTTCCTAAAATATGACTTAGAAACAAAGAAATTTTCACATGAATATTGTAGCGACAATCAGTTTATAAATAGCAGAAAACGGTTTTTAGTAAAGGCTAAAACAGTGTAAGCAGGGTTATGAATTGTTTTTGAGATTTAGAAAAAAACTGCATGAAAAGTGTGATTTGTTTTTATAGTCCTCCTTAGTAGTGTTTTTCAGTTAATCGCATCGACAAAATTAATGTAAATAAACATTTGCAAGCCAACCTAATTATATATAGATAGAGTTATGAATAGACCTTAGTTTTTGGGAAACCGATGTGTTGACAAACTGCGCAAATTGTTTTATTTTTCATAATTTTAATTATGTTTCCAATCAAATGAATAATTTTTATATGCCTTGGACGAAATTTATGTGTAATTATCGTACAGAATTTTTAAACATGTCACTTTAAACGTTTCAAATATAATGTATTCTAAACATAAAATACATTATTTAAATATAAATAAAGTTAATTAAGTTCTTCCTTTATTGATTACATTTTCTATACAATATACGATTATTATGTTTTTAACCGCCTGAACTAATCTGTTTCATTATTTTAGTATACACTTGTCCTCGATAAGAAAATGATTTTCTTCAATAAACAAAACTTTATAAGTTAAAAGACAAATAATAAGATTCATATCATTGTAAAATTATACAAACCTCTGACAAAATATGGAAGGAAATATGACACAAAGACACTAAAAAAGAAACGATTCACACAGACTCTCATCATAATAATTAGTCTTCTATTTAGCTGATATTGTTAATCATAAACATATATCATCCATATTTCTTTAATCCTTTTTTATTTATATTATAAACACAAGAAAGCAGCTCATGAAATATTCACTTTTATCAATATCCTCAAATCTGATGTGTGTTGCGCAATTCTCACCTATCGTCAAATAAACACAATTTTGAATGCCTGTTAGGATTTTATTACCATATATGGTAAAGTCCTGCTAATGTACTACGGTGTACCATATATGGTAAAGTACTGCTAATGGATTTCTTAAAATACAGTTTCTTTGTCGCTTCTATACATGTATGGTATTTCGGTCTAAACTAAATATGAAATGGCATTTTTTTTATACGAGTTGCTATCTAAAATTCATCGGGTAAAATTAAACCTAAATTAAATTATAGATATAAAAGTAAACAATAAGTTATTGATATAAGTCTTATTATTATTGTAGAAATCGAAAGTACAAAATGTTTAACCCTTGACATTAATTAATTCGGAGTTGGTTATAATTATACATTTCTTTTTTATTGAATATGAGTTTCAGACATATTTCAAAGTAAACCAACTTAGACTTTATATTCCTTTTGAATGTTAATATTATTTTAAATTAAATTACATGTTATACATTATCAAAGATTGCACTCTCAGTTTTTGTTTACATCTAAAACCGGTTATTATGAATAAACTTGACAGATTAATGAATAGTTGTGATAAAAAATTCTACTAAAACTATCTTTTTTTGTAAAATTATTATGTTAGAATTAAGATAATTAATACTTCTCATTCTCCGTTCCCATTTGTAACAATGTAAAATACATGTAGTAATGAATTTAGTAGTTGAAATGAACAGTATGATCTCCTATTTTTGTTTATTTAGCTAGTCATAATTGTATTCTTTTATTGCGATATTAGTTTGATTTTGACTGTTATTTTTCTGTTCGTTTGTTGCATATTATTTATATGCCAAGGCATGTATGGGAAGTAGAAAGTAGCAGTAGCAGCAGTAGGAAACGTGAAGTAAGCAGTAGCAGTAGCCCAGCAGTAGCAGAAGAAAACTTATAAAACATGAAATATGATAAACAAGATCAACAAGGAAAGGCGGCGTTCAATGAAGTTGGCAGCGGCAGTACCTCAGCAGTAGCAGTAGCAAAATTATAAAACGTGAAGTTGGCAGTAGCAGTAGCTCAGCAGTAGCAGTAGCAAAATTATCAAACGTGAAGTTGGCAGTAGCAGTAGCGCAGCTGTAGCAGTAGCAAAATTATAAAACGTGAAGTTGGCAGTAGCAGTAGCACAGCAGTAGCAGTAGCAAAATTATAAAAACGTGAAGTTTGCAGTAGCAGTGGCACAGCAGTAGAAGTTGCAAAATTATTAAACATTTTTTACTTCTAGGGACCTTAAAAAGTCCATTTCATTAACCTGCGACTTATTGTTGGACACTCGCAGACTTTCAGGATTTTTTAATAACAATAGAGATGATGACATTTGGGACTTCTAGAGACCCGCCAGAGTCCCTTTTCCTTGTCTGCGACTGATTCTGGGACACTCGTAGACTTTCAGGAATTGGTCGTGCCAATAGAGTTTATGATATTTTTGACTTCTAGGGACACGCTAGAGTCCACTTCTTTGGTCTTCGACTGATTCCGGGACAATCACAGACTTTCATGAATTTTTGAAGCCAATGGAGATAATGACATTTTTGACTTCTAGGGACCCGCAAGGGTCCATTTCTTTGTCTGCGAAAAAATCTTTGAGATTCGCAGACTTTCAGGGTTTTTTGGTGCCATTGTAGATTATGACAGTTTTTTATTTTAAGGACCCCCGAGTCAATTTTCATTCCAACAGAGCATTTTTACTCTAAAATGTCATTATTTTCATTGGCATAAAAAATTTCTGAAAGTCTGAGAGTGTCCAAAAGTAAGTCGCAGACCAAAGTAATAGACTCTGGGTGGTCCTTAGAAGTAAAAAATGTCATTATATGCCATGACATCAAAATTCCTGAAAGTCTGAGAGTGTCCAAAAGTAAGTCGCAGACCAAAGAAATGGACTCAGGAGGGTCCCTAGAAGTCAGAAATGTCATTATCTGCATTTACACCAAAATTCCTGAAAGTCTGCGAGTGACTCAGAATCAGTCGCAGATCAACGAAATGTACTCAGGAGGGTCCCGTAGATTGAAGTAAAAAATGTCATTATCTGCATTGGCACTAAATATTTCTTTCAGTGTACGAGTGCCCAATAATCAGTTGCAGACAAACGGAATGGACTTCTGAGGGTTAAAAGAACCGAAAATAGGTTATTAATCCATTTGTACCAAAAATCCTGGAGGTCTACGAGGATATCCGTCACAGTCGCAGCCGTAGAGCAATGAAATACATCTCACAATAAAACAACATTTTCAGAGGCATTTGGATTATAAGAGGATGCATAGAAGAATATTTTTCTCTGTATTTAGGAATGCCCTGCCTACTTTGCTCTGCCAGCTTAACATTTCAGCAGAACAGTTTTATACTTTATTTAAGAATGCCCTGCTAGTTTGCCTATAATTTTGCTTCTGCTACTGCTGTGCCACTGCCACTGCCAACTTCACGTTTTATAATTTTGCTATTGCTACTGCTGTGTCAATGCTACTGCCAACTTCACGTTTTATAATTTTGCTACTGCTACTGCTGAGCTACTGCTGCTGCCAATTTCACGTTTTATAATTTTGCTACTGCTACTGCTGAGCTAATGCTACTGCTACTGCTCACTGCTACTGCTAACTTCCTACCGGTTTTGTATAATAAAAACTGAAACTGAAACTAAGGCAAAATCCATTACATCCCAACATCGCCTGCTTCTCTTTTTGTGAACTCTTCATAAAATAAGTTGATGACATAAAGATATTGAAATATTGATCGGGACTACTTTTAGAGTGACGACATTTGTTGTCACAATGTTTGAATAAGTATAAACTAGCTCTTAAATGAAATAAAACAACGTACTGATTTTGGACAGTTAAAAGAGTAAGGGATCATTTAATGGTATAATGTTTTTTAGAAATTACACTCTAAATGCACAAAATACAAATTTTTGTTAACACAATAAGTTCTTGTTTAGCATTCTTTTTATAAATCTACATGTATTTATGATAATTTACAATTAAATGCTCAAACTTTAGTAATTTGGACCGGAAGGCTTAAAACCGATGAGGGATTTCCTTGTTAATTAAAATATTGCACAAATTACATTTTTCTGAACTTTACTAAAGGTTCCAATCAAACAGATAATAGATTAGATGAGATGTCCGAAACTTTCCGCATTATTTATTCTAGTTAACAAATACACAATTTTTATAGATACACAGATAATAATGTGTTTTTGAAAGATAGATACTTAAATTATTCGTAGTTTATCTATCTAACAGAAATAAATATCTACTTAGTAGATAAAGATCTGTTATTTATCGTGTTAACACGAAAACTAACTAGTAAGTCAGATAGTTAACGCGATACTGTTGGTAGAAATATGCCACTATATCTTTTAAATCCTTTAGAAAAAAAACAACAACAAGAACAAGAAAATCAGCAGCATGTAAAAAACATCAGAAACATCATTGTATAGGTGTGCTCAATAAAGGATTAAAAATTATAAGTTATTTGTGAGATGATATAGAACATTATTATCGGTATCACAGTATTCATCACCATATAAAGATTGATTAATGTATATTGTCTTGTTCAACTTATCCATTACTCAACGATAATGTACATGTAAGTTAATACATTGCCGAAAACACGCATACTTGTTAAACCACCGTAACGGGGACCTACGAAACGGGGACTTCTGCAGCCTCCATATAGTCACAGCCGTTGAACTTGTTTGCGCTTATACTATACAAACAAACCGGAGATCATTAATGTGAACGAACTGGAATGAACTTGTGTAACAATGAGACGGCAAAATGGGGTATTAAGTATAAGAGCCAGTCGGGGGAACCGCTGTGCATTTCTTCAACAAACTCAACGTTGATTTTAATTTTAAGCAACAGTCAATTTTGATTTAAAGTTTCTCTCCTGCTCATCGGTCAGATGTTTCATTATCGCGGGAGTGTATTCACTGAGCTGCGAAGGGAGCGTAACTTAAAGTGACAAAGCAATATCTCTGCTTGCAGTTTAAAACATAATGTTTGAATTTTAAAAAAAAAGAAAGAAAAAAATCTTAAGGCTTCTGATAATTTTTGATGCAAGTTCGATACGAAGAACCATTATCAAATATCTACTTGTATGTTTACTTTCACGAGGAGACATATCTTGAGTGAATTTCCTACCATAACTTAATGTTGATCCACTAAACCTTACTTGTAACATTATGCCTACCTCACCTTCGGCTCAACGTAAAAAATAGTTCAAAAGCTTGATTTGAAATACAAATAAATATTTATTCAAATGTGATAGAGCCATCGATAAGATGCTGGCGCCGTTGGTAATGTGAAAGAGCCGTCTCAAATATGATTGAGACAACAATTAATAAGTATCGATATTGTGAAATATTGGCGATAAACATTCACACAATTGCATGAGTTGATAAAGACTTACTTACATGAAATGTTTAAATGTGGCCTTGAATTAGTACGAAGTAAATTTCGCCAAAAGCAAAATATACGTATATGCAACAAATCGTGAATCCGTGAAGATAAAACTGTAAACCTTGAAGGTGAAATCGTGAACTCATGAAGTTGAAATCGTGAATTCAAAACGTTAAAATTGTGAAGTTAAAATTTTAAAATTCGTCAATTTCGTATGTTGAAAACATGATTTCACGAAGTTAAAATCGTGAATCCCCAATGATAAAATCAGGAATTCTTGAAGTTGAAAAGCTCCACCTGTCTAAACTCGTATGTGTTTCTCGATTCGCAGCAATTACACAAGCACAATGTTTTACATTCATTATACACTATATTAATTCGGTTGCCTATATGACATTTTTTAAAACGCATAATTTATTGCGGAATGACATTATTTATTTTGCGAGTCGTCTAAATAAAAATGCAAGTACATAAAACATTCATGCACATCAGCTTTACACTTCGATACCTATTTTAAATGTCTTGTTTTGTTGCAAAACATTTTTTATTTACATTTTCTTCAAATGGAAAGATGCAACTGTCTGTAGTTTACCGATATTTAATATCGTGTAACAAGGCTAAATTAAAGTATGCGTAAATAGGTTGTAAATATGTTGTCTCATCTAAAGAAGGACTGTTTTACATTGATCAAAATGCATTGGTGTAAGAGCTGTTACATTGCATTGCGATAAAACATCTGAATTTTTCAATCTATTTGTTTACCATAAGAAACTAGAAAATACAAGTTCGCTGTAAAGAAATTCCCCTTTAATTTCTATTTTCTGCACAGATCTAAACAGACGCATTTGGATACAGCTGACCATCCCTTCGCAGTCATTTTACGCGTGCGTAAAACCTTGCTTGTAACCGATATTTGTAAATACACTAACTTACCAAAGATAATACTGGTAAAAATAATTATTGCTGTGTTCAAAGTGCCATGATTATAAATAATGTAGGATAAATAAACACACAAAAACACGTAAGGAACTTCCACGTCGATTTTCCAATAACCCAAGTCTAATAATAGATTTCTATAATTAGATGCGCATACAAACGTAAATTCACATTGTCGAGTGATCCAACCTGTGCAGTGCCCCTCTCATGATTAACTGATAAAAAAATAATAATATCCTTAAACTTCTCACACAAATGACATTTTTCGTATATTCTTTACTAAATATCAAACAAATAAACACTGCATGCTACTTTCTATTTGCGCCGTGGTAAACGATATTGATTTTCTATTTATAAACTGACTTGCATGATGGTTAATATTGCAACATTAGTTTCTAAGTCAAATTTTGAAAAACAACCTTTTTATCACACGTAATTAAAGTAATCGATAGAACATATGTAAAGATGTATTCCTTTATTTTGTGTGTGTGCCATTACACATTTAAAACTTTCCATGAGCAGCACAGCATAGTAGCAAAATATCACATGTTATTGAACAGAAAAAAATCCCAACATATAACAACAACAACGACAACAACAACCACCCCCCCCCCCAAAAAAAAAAGAAAAAAAAAAAAGAAAACAATTTTCTATAAAGACATTTAAGTTGATAAGTTAAGGCCTCGTGACAAATCATGAAGTTGTCCTATTATTTTTTAAGATATTTACGTTATAAATATATTTTACACTTATAAATATACATGCATTAACACGTAATAAATAAAATATTAAAGAAATAATAACTCCATAATTTCCATAACTTCATTAATTTCTGCAGCGCTTTTAATGCTTGTCGTGCATATCGTCAGTCAAATATTTTTTCCGTTATAAATATATATATACAATGTACACGATGAAAATATATACACACCTGAAAGAAAATGCAGCCGAAAACTTAACACCACACTCAACAATATTAAGTAACGATCCATTGAAAATAATTTTGATTTAGTGAAAATAATATATAGAAATATCCGAATACTAATTCGTTATATCAATTATAACCATTCATGTCGTTGTGCATTGATTGCGCAATCAAATATAGAAACACGTAAATGGGGACGTTTATGGTATACCAATATATCTAGTTCTGGATTCCCAAACATTATATTCCGCTTTGATCACCTGAACTGGCTCAGGGTTGAATGTCCATCGTCTGTCGTCCGTCCACTTTTAGTTCGTTAGAATTCTAGTGGTCACTATTCTAACTCAAGTTCAAACATTGATCACATGGGGTAAACAGCACGGCCAAAATATAGAAACGCTGATAAGGTTCTAGAGGCTACTATTTCGTTCCAAATATCGTGTATATTTTGTTTCGATGATATATTACGCAAGTTCGAATCTTCGTCACCTTGGGCCAAAAACAAAGCCCTATTATGGGAAATCTTTTACACACTCGAGAGGAATTGTTTTGGTCTAAATGTCAAATAGATTATTTACATGACTTCTAGATCATCTTTGAATATCCGTAATCTGGCGCAGAGCCAGAATATGGAAAGTCCCTGTTAACACTAACAATCCAAATATCTAGGAAATTTGCCATGAAGGTTTTTCAAATGATTTATATGTCCAGTTCCAATAAGGGTCATCTGGAGTAAAACAAACTAGGTGACACAACCTATACATGGAATAACCTTGTTTACTTTTGCATTGTTTCACTTGGAGATAAGAATATTATGCTATCAGTTTGGATAATGACTTTTTATCTGCTTTTCATTCATTACTATCAATATTAATTAAGAGCCTTAATAAGCAAGTGAGCGATATAAAGGCCATCATGAACCTCTTTTTTCTTTTATCTTTTGTGGCAAAGTAAAACATTTAGTTGTTATTCTGTAAAACATTTATTGAATGCAGCTATAAAATAGTGACGTCACGAATACCACCACAGGTATGTGATGATTTGGTTTCCCATTTTGTGACATTTTGGATCCTACTTACTGGTTACTCAATATAGATTTTTAACTTTTAGTTTAATTATATAATACAAGGTAAGTTAGTTTATGTAAATCAGTGTTAATCTGTCATTGTAAAATTAAACTTTCGGATAAGAATGAATTGTATAATCTATATGTTAAAGGAGCAAAACTATATTGTGTCTATCAAAGAATAAATGTTAATTTCATTTAACTTAAGTTTTAACTTATTTATTAATTTGTAAAAAAGGAAAAACAGAATGTAGAAAAAATAAATTGTAAATATCTTTATCATAATGTCCTATTCATCACCAGCCTATCGAAATCTTCATCAACACATTGAAAAAAGAACTATAAGTTTGAGTTTTGTCTTAGTTCAAATGAAAGATCATAAAAGCTTTGTACAGGTTGTACCAATAACAGAATAGTGCATTCTCTTAAGACTTTCAAATTTCCCCACAAGGGTTGAAAAGGACAATGGGTTGAAGTGTTTTGCTAACACTTTCCACAAGAAATTGATAAAATGTATTTTATCTTCTATTATAGGAAAAAGAATGTGACAAAGAAATTCATTTGCCCTTTTAAAATTAACATAACATCTGCGCATTGTTCACCTTTCAATTCTTGTCCTATAACTTTTTATATTCATTCGTGACGAGTACAACATAAATATTTTAAGATTTACATAGATAACATAAGTTCAATTTGTAGTGCAATAATATTTTATTCTATTCACTCTGTGGTTAGAATAATGTCCTTAAAGTAGGGTTGAATTATTTATTCTATTTCCTATTCTGTATTATTGTGTACATATTGTTGGATGGTTTATTAAGTTACGTATCCATCGTACGAGTAAGTTGTAAACTAAACATGTGAGTGGATGTTTTTCCCTATGACGTCATTATTTAATAAGATTTCAGCATAGCACATGCAATCACATCTTTCGGCCCTACCCGTCAAACTTCGGATAAGAACGAACGCTGAGACTGTTTTATGTGATCAATGTTTTGCTATCTTGTGAAATGATGACAGTCACGGCGTTCCATAGGATACGATATTTTGGACTAACCTACGCTAAGAAACTAAACATGTTCACAATCAGTAATTTAATGCTGGGGTTTGAAGACTAAATTTATACCAATATATCGAGTAAAAGTCCACCTTCATCGGGTTTTACAGATAGAACAATAAACAGTACATTATTTATATATTAATTATTATGATTGTAGAAACCGAAAGTACAAAATGTCTACCTGTTGACATGTATTCGGATTTGATTATACATGTACGTCATCAGGTTCAGATTGATTATGATTGTCAGACATATCACCAATCATAATTTTACCGAAATAGACTTTATTTTACTTTGGATGTCATTTTAACATTGTAAAATTAAGATTGATAAATGTGTGCGATAAACATGAAAATGCAAAAACACACATATACAGGTTAATACTTATCATACACGTTATACATTATCAAAGATTACTCACTCAGTTTTGTTAACATCTAAAACCAAGTGGTTGAACTATTTTCAATCCGCATTAAGTCCGAGTTTATTATTGATAATAGCCGAGATTTTCCGATTGAAATATATGCTCATTAGTGTCCATTGTGTACACCGGTCTTACTGAGCTGTGTGAAACCACTCTAAGCATGATGGGAACGCACTACTTTTAACATGGCAGTTCGTCCATTGTTAGTTTTAAACCGAAAGTGAAAGTTGTTTTGAATTAACACAGTCGAACTATAAATTGCACTTGCAATATCAAAATCTGGAAAAAAATGATCCCTTGGAAGCAATAAACAATTTTAATCACTTGAAAAGATATACTGTGTTTTATAAAATAAAATCCCTACGCAGACTTCTTTATGTCGGAGTCAATTTTACCCGATTGGGGGTGAGTAAAATCCTTAAAAGCATTTTTTTAGGAAAATTAAATTCATCGAACTTATGCCCGAAAATGTGTAAAACTTATGGCATTGTGACACCTTATAAGTCCTTAACAGTTAATTTTACAACATAACCAGTATGAAATGCTTTTATTCCTGTTATAGTTTTTAAAAGGTTACTCATTGATCGTATGTTGCGTCTGTTGATTTCTGGGAATAAATTAGTAATAGGTATTAATAAGTAATAAGAATTTGGTGCGGAAATCAAAATACTACTTTATTTACATTGTTCTTCCTTTATGGCAAACAGTTTCACATTCAGCACTTTTTTCTTCAGGCCATGAGCATCTTACATGCCCTACGACAATTATTAAATTAGTTCATAATTCATGATAAGAAAATATTTATTCGTTTAATGGGTAAAATGCGCCGTCTTAATCATTCCAATTGTTCTCAATTTTATCGGTAAGATATTTCTTTTATGACTTCGAAGCTGAACACAAACAATCATCAAATTTCACATCTTATTGAAACAATAAACACCCAGCATTACTTATGAGGTTCATTTATAACATCACTAATATACAGTATTAATCATTTAATAAATGAAATTGTAATGGCAGAAAATGGCCGCGAATTAAAAGCAAGCAAGCAAGGAGAAAGCCTTTGTCTTACTTTAGAGCCTGATGAGGGACGAGCGGACAAGCGCAGGTAATTTATAATCTAAGAGATATTAATACCCAAACATTGCCTAGTACACTCGTGAAACTAGGAATTACCAGCCACTTCCATGGGCAAAACCCTGTTCACACTCACTGTCAACCGAGTGACATACTAACCGCCAGCAAAAACTTTAAACCACACAAGTTTACCAACACACCGATTTACTCTGCACTATACACTATTGCCCATTACTTCATGCAACACGAACACTTAACCGAGCCATACGCTGTTAAAGTTACACACTTTTGTACGCAATCAAAACAAACTGACTGAATGGCTGAACGGACATAATGGCGTACATGGACAAAACGGCTTTAGCGTACTTTGCCGTATAATAAATGACATGCTGGCGGTTGTGTACACACGCGAAAAATCAAAACTTGATTTATCACAGGCATTTTCTAGTATGAAAATTTCAAAATTATAAACAAGAGATAATCCACTACCCAGGAGAAAAAACCTTGGTTTAGCGATTATCCCTTATTTACTTACATGTATTGGTCCAAAATGACATGTCTATTCAATATGTACATGGCATTTTTACTACTCAGGAGATATACCTTGATGTAGAATATAGCCATCAATGATTTAAGAATTAATATTAAATATTAAACAAGTCTTGTCACTCATCCCCCATTGCATTTAATATTTTCGCGACAAATTGCTTTGTTTGATAATAACACTGTTATATCTAAACATATAATATAATAATCAGTAGTATAATATTAGAACTGAATTGAATCAAATTTAAATACACTGTATCTGCATAAGAGTTATAACATTGTTAACATCGTATAATGTACTGTCCATAATTGGTATAAACAATAACATTGTTAACATCGTATAATGTACCGTCCATAATTGGTATAACCAAAATATATAAGAGATCGTTCACATATTTATCCACACCGTTAACTAGATAATAAAGAACACTGTACACCTATAGATAATTAATCAATCAAATCATTTCCATGTGTCATAGTATCGCTGTAATTCCGCAAGATACATCCAAGAAGATATTGCGTCGTCCAAGAACAAGTTGCGTCGTCCAAGAACAAGCTGCATCGTCCAAGAACAAGTTGCATCGACAATATATACGTCAGTGAACTCGGCTATGTATATAGATGTACGTTCCTGGTGTGGACGGCAGTACTGCTTAGAACTTACAAACTATTCTGAACGTATATAAGACTGACAGCAGAAAACTGAAGAAATTCAGATAAAAATACCAAAATAACAAATTGTTCTATATATTGTTTCCTAAATAAACGTAGCGAAACTCATATGGGTGTGGTGGGTGGGATTTTTATCAAGCGATGCTTACAGCACAAGTTCTCAAGTACAATGCTGTCGGAAACGGATGTGTCGGTGATATATAGTGTAACCGAGGTAATCCGCATAATTTACCACCAAAATCAAGGCTGCATACAAATCACGTGAACTTCGTGCGCAAATATAAAATCAGTTATTTGCTATCGAAATAATTCGTCTTATTTTATGACTTCGAAGCTGAACACAATCATCAAATTTCACATCTTATTGAAACAATAAACATCCAGCATTACTTATGAGGTTCATTTATAACATCACTAATATACAGTATTAATCATTTAATAAATGAAATTGTAATGGCAGAAAATGGCCGCGAATTAAAAGCAAGCAAGCAAGGAGAAAGCCTTTGTCTTGCTTTAGAGCCTCATGAAGGACGAGCGGACAAGCGCAGGTAATTTATAATCTAAGAGATATTAATACCCAAACATTGCCTAGTACACTCGTGAAACTAGGAATTACCAGCCACATCCATGGGCAAAACCCTGTTCACACTCACTGTCAACCGAGTGACATACTAACCGCCAGCAAAAACTTTAAACCACACAAGTTTACCAACACACCGATTTACTCTGCACTATACACTATTGCCCATTACTTCATGCAACACGAACACTTAACCGAGCGATCCGCTGTTAAAATTACACACTTTTGTACGCAATCAAAACAAACTGACTGAATGGCTGAACGGACATAATGGCGTACATGGACACAACGGCTTTAGCGTACTTTGCCGTATAATAAATGACATGCTGGCGGTTTTGTGCACACGCGAAAAATCAAAACT